AAACTGCCATTTCCACAGAACTTACACTTGCTTCGCGAAATGAATGACTCTCAGGATTATTGCGAGTATTTCACACCGAAAGGATTTTATATCTGCACTCATTACTAGATAGTTTTAAAATATGTACCATCTACAAGAGACATTAAATTATTTATAAGCATTGAATATTAAAATTGAACTCGAACTCTCCATCTATGTCTTTTATATATATATATATATATATATATATATATATATATATATATATATATATATTGAAAGAAAAACAGACTACTTTATGGTTCCATTATAATAATTTATTTCACCAGAGCCCTTTTAAGGGACGCTGGATCATCAGATAACACTTCCAAAAAATGAAACAAAACATGAAATGAAAATTCACACTTTTGACGGGTAGTATTAAGTTTATGTAATTTAACAGAGAGTGTAGTGAGGAGTGGTGTGAGAGACATGGTCGAGTTTAGAGAGGGTTTATTTTAATATTTCTTTCAATCATACTTAGTATTGGGGGAGGAGGGACCAGACCTATAACAAAAAAAAAACTCAGAGAGTTAAGTTAAAGGGAAATAACTAAGATATCCGGAAGAGGCATGGCACGTGGAACTAGAACAATGTACCCCTGTATACGAAAAAATCATAATACCTCATCTCAAAGATATAGACAGATATATAGCGAGAGACATAGACCGGAGCATGCAACGGCCGAAACGTTGTGAATATGGCAATGAAGATGAACAGTCCGAATAATGTAAATAATGCAAGTAATCATAACATCTCAGAAATATAGATAGATATTAAAATCTCATAAGCATAGTAATATCTGAATTTATATACAATTAACTTAAACATTTTTAATTGTCTGTTTTATAGGAATGCGAGAATTATTTAAACCAGCCATTTACATGCTAAATTTTGTTTTTATAAATATGTAGACTATAAGAATTCCATCATATATGAAAAAAGCATGTCAGATATTAATGGTAATGGTGATATTAGCCGTTACCTTATAAGGAAACATTTGACCTTCATTGATCTAGCGTACAGTGTCTATTATCGGTTGAAATTTATAAAATCTACCTATTAAACAATTTTTCAATAAGTTTCTCATGTCCAATAGTTGTTATCGCTCTTTTCAGAATTTATGGGTATTTCCTGAAATTTCTTGAATGAAAATTTCTTTTAATGAAAATATTGTACAAATATCAAACAATATTAACAATGTTTAGTTAATGTACGCCGAATGCATTCTGTATGGAAGGAGTTAATTTCACCATCTTGTCACAGAATTATTTACGCTTCTGTGAAAGTTTCTGAAGACTCGTTAATTATATGAAGCATTGTCTAGAGAGAAAATCGTGTATATGTCCATTTGTTAGCACAATGGTTGAGCTAACTGGTCAGTCGGAGCAGATAAGGCACATTATGCTTCAGTTCGTTTGAGAGAAGGCGATTGGAACGAAGAAGACAATTATTCATATTTTTGCATTATCTGCTAAACACGAAACACAAAGCAGTGTTTCTTTTATTTTTTTGTACATCAGTTTTGATTTTTATATATTTTTTTTTACTGGAGCTTTACAGATATTTCTGTTTTGTGCTATGGCTGCAGTTGATCGTGCCATCCTACTAATGAGTCATATTTTCACTAATATCTCAAAAGACATAGGAAATATTTATTGGAATTTTGTAAATATGGATCATTATTATTATCATTCTACTGGAACAAGTCAGCAGATCATTTTCTTATTTTTTGTAATCTTTTATTTCAAAGAGAAATGTTTTCTTACCATGACCATGTTCGCTAATAGTTAAAATATATATATATATATATATATATATATATATATATATATATATATATATATATTAAAGCGTGTTTCATTAAATAATATAGACAAGTTTTGTCGATTTATTTTACGTAAATTCCTTTCATATCGTCCGATAAGCATTATCATTGAAAGACGAAAGAAAAAATCACCATATTGAAACATGTTTTTAATCCTATCTAAGCTTTCGGCTTACATAAGCCATCATCAGCATTCATATATATATATATATATATATATATATATATATATATATATATATATAAATATATATATATAAAAGAGAACATTGAGGACAACACTTAGAGGCGACGGCCTGTTTCATGTTAGACGCAATCGTCAGGCCACGAGTGCTGTTTTTTCTCGGCTATTTATATATACGGGTCAGTGGTGCATTGTGGGTAGTCTATTTTGGTGGTTATTTTACCAGGTCGTTTGTTTGTTTATTTATTTATTTGGGTTAAATTATTTTGCTTGTCATTATTTATTTTTATTTATTTATTTTTATTTCTTATTTTATATATTTATTTTTTATTTTATTTTTATTTCAATTGGTGTTTTTATTAACGTAGTAAAAATTTGTTTATATCGTTTATTTAATAGTTTTCTTTTGGTTTGGGAAGATAATTAAAGCTAAAAAAAAGTTAAAAAAATAGTGAGTCATGATGTTTTATTAGAAATTTTATTATGAAAAAAAGCATTTTATGATTAAGTTTTGTCTCGTCAAAATATCTTCCTTTAGCCTTGATTACTGCAACACAAATGTTTGGCATTAGTTAGAAAAGTTTCTTAAAGTATAAATTTGATAATTGATTCCATTCTTTTTTTCAATGACTCTAAGAGCACTTTTTCATTTTTTTTTTTTTTTTTAACTCTTCTGTCAAGCTCATCTCATACTAATTCTGGGTGTGGCTTCAAACATTTTAAGTGTGGGATATATATATATATATATATATATATATATATATATATATAAACATATATATATATATATATATATATATATATATATATATATATATATATATATATATATAACACTATTCAGGTTTTAGAAAAACTTTAAAATTAAAACACTCGAAAGAGAAAGTTGAAATTTCTAGGATGCGTAATGAGGAAAGGAGGCTTAGAAAATTCAAAACTCACAGGATATATTAGAGGCAAGAGAGGCAAAGGGAAACAGCAAGTAACTGTGCTAAGAAGCTTGTGTAAATGGATGGCAGAAAAAGGAAAAGGAAGGAATAGCAAAAAAATAAACATTTGTCTGATCTACAAAGGATAAGAAGTAGTGGAGAGCCATTTGGATCCAAATCCTGAAGAGACACAGCATACAAAAGACGACAACAAAGAAGATTCTTTTCTAGAAGGTTACCGGATAGGACAACAAACACCTGAAAAAGACCGTTTTACTCTCCAACCGTCTTTAGGCGATTCTTCTCTTGCACTTCTTTCTTGTCGAACGCTGTTCTGGTTTCTTGCTTTCCAGTTAAATTTGATCTTCAAAAATTTAAATGCAATGTCAATCATTATCTTCTGTCTTCTTAATTCCTCTTTTCTTGTTCTCTCTCCTTAATAAGGTTTTTCTTTCTTCATAATGTAACTTTCCTCTGCCTTTTCTACAAATATTTTTATAGTAATTGTTCTGATGAACTTTTCTCGATGTTACCTAGATTTTATTAATTGAAGCGTAGTGAAAAACTGGTGGCAAGATCTCATTATTTTACACTTGAATTGGTTAGATGCAACTGTAAGTTCTTTGCTAATAGTGTCTTTTCTCACTTATGAAACTCTTTCAACTTCTTGCTTTCCCTGTCTTCAAAAATTTAAATGCAATTTCACTTGTTATCTTCTCTCTTCTTAATTCCTCTTCTTTTATTGTTTTCTCTTTTCAATAAAGGTTTTTTCTTATATTCTCTAACACTCAGTAAATCCCCCCCACCCCGTGTTTTGATGCCTTGCTTGAGGTGAAATGTTTCTGTGATTACTGGATATTTGGATATTTCATGTCATTTAAAAATAATCATGTACCTTACTCCCCCTTTGTGTAACTTATCTGTTTCCTATATTGAAGCAGAATATATAACTTTTCAGCATTACCAAAGGCAGGGATTGAACATTTGCACACGTGCCTAAGAGAATTAAAGCGTTGGTTACTTAAAACATACTGCATTTTCTTGTGTATAATACGACTTGTGTATAATACGACTTCAGTATTATAAGACTTGGGTATAATACGACTTCAGTATAATAAGACTTGGGTATAATACGACTTGGGTATAATATGACTTGAGTACAATACGACTTGAGTATAATACAACTTGTGTATAATACGACTTGAGTATAATACGACTTCAGTATTATAAGACTTGAGTATAATACGACTTGGGTATCATACGACTTCAGTATAATAAGACTTGAGTATAATACGACTTCAGTATAATAAGACTTGAGTATAATAAGACTTGGGTATAATACGACTTGTGTATAATACGACTTGTGTATAATACGACTTGTGTATAATACGACTTCAGTATAAGACTTGGGTATAATACGAGTTCAGTATAATAAGACTTGGCTATAATACGACTTGAGTATAATGCGACTTGTGTATAATACGACCCCGTGTTTCTGAAGCTAAAAACAGGCAATCAATTTCATTCTTGAGTATAATACGGCCCCGTACTATTGCCTTCATTATTTAATTTCTTTGAAAATTTGTACAACATCAAATATTAAAATCTCAATGGTGTATATACATTTCACTCGAATATTTAATATCTTTCACGACATTAAAGAATAGAAATGAACCGGATGTTTAGCCATTGCTTCTTTCTTCTCCTCATTTCCGTTTCAAAACTTACTTTTGGGGAAAAAGGTGCTAATTAGAAATACCCAGTAATTTATTTATTTTTAATTTTTAATCTATCTTTATATGATTTTATTAGATTTCTTTATATTAATAAACTATGAAATAAAAAATATAGAGAGAAAAAACTTCATAAAAAGAGAAGAAAATGAAAATATAAACTTTATCTTGTGAGCAAAATTGAGTGCATTTGAAATCTTGCTGTTTTAAATAAGGATGTTGAGAGATGATTTCTAAAAATGTCTACTGGTCTATAATACAACCGACTTTTTGTTTTTAATTTACGTTCAAAACCTATCGTATAATAGACAAGAAAGTACGGTATTTGATTCTCAAGCGTTTCTGGGTTTTTTCTGAAATAATCTATCTATCTATCTATATCTATCTATCTATCTATCTATCTATCTATATTTCTCATGTTGTCTGTCTGTGTGTCTGTCGTGGGCGTTGTTACCTCGCCCAGGCCGCATTTCTCACCCGATTTCGATGCGGTTTTCAACACAAGTTTGAAAATGGCTGCCGTAAGGACATTGACGGAGCCCGATTTTTGAGTTCGGAATCAGGTTCCGAAAAAATCGAAAAAATCGATAATCGAAAAAATTCTGCTTACAGAAGGAATGATCGCATTTCAACCAAATTTGACACCCTCTTAGAGTCTACCATTAGAAGTGTTGTCCAGAAGTTTCATGACCACGGACCCCTAAACAGCGCAGAAAATCGATAAAACCCCAAAACCGATACGCCCAGATTGCGTCTGAACCACATGTCAGTTTTTAGCGAAAACCGAGCGGATTTGTGAAGCGGCCATTGGGAGTCATCATGTGAAGTTTCAACTCTGAGCACCCCCCCCCCAAACAGAGTGCAAATCGACAATCGGTCAACCCTTAAAAATGTTTTTTTTTTCCGGTTTTTCAAAGCTGATCGTATTGTGTTCATTTTGTTTAGTTCTTTTTTGGTAACAGATTTAATGTTTACTATAGAGCTTAGAAAAAGTTGGCAGTGTGATATAGGCAAGAAGTAAGGCATGTAACAACATCAGCACGGCAAAGGGCACTCCTCTAAAGGCAAGGAGGGGCAAAAATATTTTAAGTCAAGTGATAGCGATTGCTGTATTAGTTGTACTATTTTTTAATCCATCACGGGCAACGCCGGGCCATGCTGCTAGCTGTATATAAATCCGCAAATCAAGCGGATGTGATGCTTCTATTTGTTTTATGCCCACAAATAAAAGCAACGAGAACTGACGACTGTTTTTCATGTAGATACGATCTTTGTGGTATAAATCAGAACTTCGCTTTACTGTCTAAGTAAAAGTCGGTTACTGAAATGCCTTCGAACCAACTAAGAATCCATTAAAAATATCTGATGCTCGGTGTATTGGTCAGATTATGGAAAGTGAATCAGGCCGGGAACTATTCAACAACTCTTCATCTAAGATACGAATCTCTAGTCACAAAGCTAAAATTGTTGATGGAATCTTCCGCATCCGCAGAAGTCGAGTAATCACATTAATGTACTAGACAGTCAACAAGTGTTATAAGGATTCAGGAGAAATCTAATACCAAATGATTTGGAATAGGGATAAAAGCAGTGATGATACCTACTTTGAATTCAGTATCTGTCTATATTTCAGAGATGAGGTATTATGCACATTATTTACATTATTGGGACTATTGTCCTCATCGTTGTCGCCATATTTATTACAATGTTTCAGCCTTTCAGTATCTGTCTATATTTCTGAGATGAGGGATTATTTAAACTATTTACATTATTCGGACTATTCTTCACTGCCTTAACCGGGTATTGAACTCACACTCTTTGCCATGTGTCCTCAAGGACACATGGCACAGTGGATAAAGGCGTTGGTTAGATCCAGTGATAGGACTCAAAGAGTGTAAGTTCAATACCCGGTTAAGGCAGTGGAGAACTTTCAGAGGGAAAATTAACAGGAGATAACTGATAACTGACATCCATTAAACATGACACGTGGAACTAGAACAGTTTACCCCAGTGAGCTAAATAAAGGGTTCAGTTCGACATTCCAACCACCTGAAGAAGGCCGAAGCGTACCACGGCCGAAACGTTGTAATAAATATGGCGACAAAGATAAGAACAATAGTCCGAATAATGTAAATAATGTACTTTGAATCCATTATAAAATTTTCGTATGTAGAATTAGTAAATACTATAGACTTCAAATACCTCGGCGCATGGATCTGTTTTAAAAAATTTAATACAGGAGATAAGGACATTGAACATAGAATAGGCTGCGCTTGGTGTAGTTTCCATCAACACTACAAGTTACTATTATATTTAACAGCCCCCTTTCCCACGAGAGATGAATGTGGCACAAGGCCGAGTTTACCGTGGGTTCTCCGAGCCCGTAGGCTCGGCCAAAAATATTCCCTTAGAACCAGCATAAACGGGTTCAGGGCCTGTCTACCTCCCCGGACAAAACTTTGCCCTTTGGCAAAGTCTCGTTCGGGTTCCTCTCTGCCGAGGCAGAGAGTTCGACAGTACCCACAATCTAGTCGACTGCTCCCTTTTTTTTTAGCACAGCTTAGGTGTGGCACAAGGCCGAAATTCTGGGGTACCCAGTGAGGATCGAACTCACTACTCAGTCGTAATACTAGCGAGACAAGCTTGCTAACCATTACACGACGCCGAGGTGCCAGAAGATGATTTTCCAAGCGTAGCACAGATGTGGCACAAGGCCGAAATTATTGGGTACCCACTGAGGATCGAATTCACCACTGAGTCGTAATTGTTCTAGCGGGACAAGCTTGGTAACCATTACACCACGTCGAGGTGCCCAAATATATTGATTTTCTCGGCGTAGCTTAGATGTGGCACAACGCTGAAAGTATGGGACACCCAGTGAGGATCGAACTTACTATTCAGCCGTAACTGATTTAGCGGGACAAGCTTGCTAACCATTACACAACGCCGAGGTGCCCCACCACAAGCTACTATAAAACCAAAACTCGAATCATGTTCTTAAATAGCCTTGTGAGATCGAGGCTTTTATCTGGATACCATGCATGGCGCCAAATTCGTTCAGAAAGGGTCTAAACTGCTCGCTGTATACATCGCAGATGAATAAATAATTAAAATTGAATTCCAGCGATTGAATCGGTGGCTGCGGCGACATATAAGCAGAAAGTCAACCCACTTATATATACTAACAAGATAATCGGATAGTAGAGAGTTATATAAACGCCCGGACAGCGAGTAGGAAAGCAGAGTTTCCCACCCCATCGCAGCAAAATTCCACCATTTGTTCAAGGTTCTCGAAATCATATAGTCTACACATTCGACATGAATCTGATAGAGTCCAGAAATGAATACAATAATACTGTCTTAATAGTAAGTCTGATCAATTCAATAAAGTCAAATTGGCGGCTGATGTCAAAAATGACCTACAATCTGTTGTCAAATGGAGCAAGGAGTGGTTTATTAATATCGACGCCTCACAAACGAAACTGCTCTCTCTTAATCATCTGAGAGAACTCTTTTTTACCTTCCATCACTATAGCTGATGTTAACTTCCAGGAAGGTGATTTATTGCCCATTTTCGGAGTAACGTTTTCAGCTGACATGAAGGGTAAAGAGTACATTGAATCAGTTGCTAAGCCTGAAACTAAGAAACGATGCCGTACTAAACATTTTTTTCTCGATATATATTTATATGATTACAATTCGTCCATGCTTTGAATATTGCTGCCATATTTGGTTCGGTGTTTTTGCTATATATTTAGAGATTCTTGATAAAATTCAAAGAATCTGCAATGTTATTGGTCTTGACGTGGCATCTCGGCTTCAGTCATTTTTCCATTGCCCTAACGTAGATTTCTTATGTCTTCTTTTATAAATACATTCATGGTAATCATGCTAATGGACTTTCCTATATGATGCATAGATTTTAAGTGCAGTACTAGATTGACGTCAAGGTCTCATTTTAGAGTTGAAATGGCCAGATGTAACCGTAAGTCCTATGCTAAGAGCTTCTTCTATCACACTTCTTGCTTGTGGAACTCTCTTACGGTTTTTTGCTTTCCGGTCAACTTTGTTCTTCAAATATTTAAATGCAATGTAAATCACAATCTTCTGTCATCTTAATTGTCTTCTTAATTGTCCTCTCTCCTCGATAGTAGTTTTTCTCATATTCTCTAACACTCAGTAAACTTTGCATCCTAGTGGCTTTATTGCCTTGCTTGGGGTGAAATGATTTTAAAAAATTACGTCTGAAAGATTTACTATCGTATTTTAAAGAGATGTTACTAAGCGTTGCACTTATAAAACAGGAAATCTTGTCAGCCCCTGAATTTTTATCTTTCCTTCCTTCCTTCCTCATCTTCTCTTTCTCTCCCTCACATCTTCTCTATCTTCCTCCCTCATCATCTCTTTCTTCCTCTCTCATCTTCTCTTTCTCATTCCCGCATCTTCTCTTTTTCTCTATCTCTCTCATCTTCTCTTTCTCCCTCCCTCATCATCTCTTTCTCTCTATATATATATAGGGATTAAAATCTCGACATTCTGAGAACAGAAATGTTAGTCTGAATTGTCAATGTGCCAATCTGTGTCTTTCATAGAAATCTCTAAAGCAATTTAAAGAAATTCTGGAATCAAGATTTCAACTGATCTTGAAAATCGTCCTGGTGTTATACTATGTCGTTTCTAATATAACTAGTACTGAAGTTGTATTTAATAGTACTGGGTTATATTGTACCACGTCTAATTGTATAGGGTTAAGAGATACCATATCTAATAGTCGCTGGGTTACATTACTGGATTACAATATCCCATATCTAATAGTATTTTGTTTACAAGGTATTAAATTTAATAATATTGCGTTACATGAAAATCCATATAATAAATTAAGTGCCACATGCGATACACGCTTGGGCGATCATGTGTCTTTCGATTCATGGCAGACTAGACCGGGAGGTTGCCGTTTCTTTCTGCGGTAAACTGGTTGCCACCTAAGGCAATAGGATCCAGTCTGGGGGAGAGAAGACATGGGTTCATACCTTTCACAAGGGCATTTGCACGTAAGTGAATGTAACGAACCCGACTGGAATTCGAACACACCTCTCCGATTTCCCATTCAGAGCCGTTATACATTACGCCATAATGCACGTCCCACGTAATAGTACCTGCTCTAAAAGGTATCATATGTAATAGTATTGGGTTATAGGATACCATATTAATAGTATTGCAAGGTATCACATGTAATAGTACTTACCATGTGTAATAATACGTGGGTTTCAAGTTACTATATGCAATAGTACTGTGTTATAGGGTATAACATGTATTAGTACTTCTTTAATAAGGTTACTTAAAATCTTAATTTTTAGTACTTGGGTTTTTAAAGTACCACATTTAAAAGTACTTCGGTTATAAGTTACCACATTTAAAATTACTCTTGATACAATATGCATATCAGTGTAACTGGGGAAAATCCATAAGCAGATTTTTGTTATAACATGTATTATTGAAACAAAGCTTAGGGAGATATCAATTCATGCCTTTCTTATTTGTTTTAACCTTAAGTAAACAAGTGTACACAGCTTATGCCGGAAACTGAACTCGGTTTATCGTTTCTGTGCCAATATTACACCACATCGAAATAGAAATTACTTATACTTTGCATTTTTCTATTCATCTCCATCTTCATTGCCTTGGAGATCAAAGACTTTGCCAAGGAATGGTAAAGTCGATTTTTGAAGCCATTTCTCCCTTAACTAACGCTTGTCCGGTGTTGAAACCAGTAAAAATCAAATTAACATTTGACGAATTCGCTTAAAACACTGGAAAAAAAACTCTGCGTGTTTAATTAAGTTTGCAAGGAATTTACTTCATGCAAGCATGTAATCAGATGAGAAATAATTTGATTAAAAGAATACACTGTAGCGTTAATGGACTACAATGTTGTCTGATGCCGTGTAGTAGGTAAAAGTTTTACAAAAGTATGCAAATTACCTAATTTCTACCATTAGTACATTTTATTTTCTCTCTTTCTCTCTCTCTCTCTCTCTCTCTCTCTCTCGTTCACTCTTTCTTAGTTTCTCTTTCTCTGTTTCCTTCGTGAAGTCTTTCTTCCGTTCCTTTCCTTGCCTCTCCATATCTATCACTTTAGTTAATAATCCATATTAACACAATCATTGACACAAGTCAGATAACTCTTGCACAATTGTTAACTGACGTCATGTAGCTTTCTTCGCTAGCGTAGTGAATTCGACCCTCTGTGTCTGCTCTATTCTTTTGGCCTTGTGCCAGATATTGCTAAGCTTAGTATTTTTAAAACTGATCTATTTTCAAAACTCATGTCTCTTCATATCGGCAAATTATGAATTGCGATGATTGTTTAGAAAAAGAATGTAGTAGGATCCCATAAATTTTATTTATTTTCAAAATTACGTAGATTGATAAATTAGTTTATATTGAATAGAAATATTTGTTCTGTAAAATACATTTTACCATTCAATTACTGTCATGTTAATATACTTAAGTAAGTATATATATACCTATTTATATACAAGGGTGGACCAATAATTCCATAGTCTGGCATGTAATCATTAGTTGAACTTCGATATGAAATTTCATTTTTTTTTTTAATCAAATCACCCCAAGAGATAAAACTGCTAAATCAGGAGATACTGTTGCTAAGGTGCAAGGAACTCCTGGGAAAGTGAAAGAGAACGAAAAGAAAAATCATTAGAAAAAGCAGGAAACCCAATCCTAAACAGGCGACAAGGGATAAACCTCTACTCCTGTTCAAGAGACTGAGGAGTATAAATTGTATAATGTTCGATGTATATGAAATTAAGTGCATTGAAATAGAATGGGATTGTTGAAGAAGAAATATTTCGGTAAAATAAAGACATTTTTTATCACTAGGCTACGGATTTATCGATGTGCCTGCGTAAAGTTAATTTTGAGTACATGTAGATTATGTCGTTTTGAAAAAAAATTCTAGTTTGATAATAAATAAATTTTCCATGATAAAATATGAATGACTTTTTTAAAAATTATTTTAACTCCAGCAATAAGTATAAACACCTTCCGAAGATTAAAAGTCTATATTCTTTGTTTTTCTGTAATTAACAACATCACTATTAATTTTTTTTCTTTTTGCCTTTTTTTTCTGGCATTACTTCTTCCAATTTTACTGTTTATTTATGTGCGTGGGTGTTCGATGACATCCCTGTAGAAGTCGAAAAAATACAAGTACTGAATGTGAACAACGCATTTTGTTTGACAAGACGATGAGTGCAGTGTCACATTTCTAACATCTTGACAACGGACAAGAGAAGACTTAAATAATATCGATCTCTTTAAATCAATGTAGTCGGTCACACTGATTTGGGGATATGCTATGAACTATCAATGCGGCAATATCTATCTATCTATCTATCTATCTATCTAAGTCTGTTCATATCTATCTATATGTTTCAGTCTGTTCATACTTATCTATTTCAATCTGATCACATCTATCTATCTATCTATCTATCTATCTATCTATCTATCTATCTATCTATCTATCTATCTATTTCAGCCTGTTCATTATCTATCTACAATCAATCAATTTCAGTCTGTTCATATCTATCTATCTATATCAATCTATGTCTGTTCATATCTATCTATCTATCTGTCTGTCTATCTGCCTGCCTGCCTATCTATCTATCTATCTATCTATCTATCTATCTATCTATCTATCTACCTATCTATCTGTCTGTCTGTCTGTCTGTCTGAGCCACTACCCAAATAATAACATCACCGTCTTTATTGCTATGGTCATGATCTAGAAAGACCAAATTTATAATTCATGTTAATAATAAAAAAAAAACTTAACAACGAAAAACCTGTTGTTTTATCTTTCATCATTAATGTACCATGTCTGCTTAGAATCTGGACAAGCACAGAAGATGCCAAATGCTTTTGTATATGTGCGAGGATTTTGATATTAAGGAAGATTAACTAAAATTTCTGGTGATGGAATTGCATAAACTATCCAGGACAAAAAATAATTGCTTGCCAAAGAATTTCATGAAAATCCGTAGCATTTTTGTCTGAGTAATCTTAACTCATATTTATTGAAAATTTTGGCACGGTATCTTCAAATAAAAGCCTGCTGAAAAGAAAGCTTTATTTATCAAATACAGCAGGAAAAACGGGAAAAAAACCCCTGTAAAACAAGTATTTTTTTTACTTAATAACATTAATCCAAAAGAGCGAACCAAATTACTCTTATATATCATTGTTGTAACGACATGAATGTCCATCTTTGATTTGGGACCAATAATTTAATTTATATCAATCAGTTATGCGCCAGCGCAGGTTCTATGCTTAGGCGATCATATATCTTTCGATACATGACTGACGAGGCAGATTTTTTTTCCCGCAGTAGGTTGCCATTTCTTTCTGCGATAGACCAGATGCCATCCAAAGTTATAGAACTCGGTCTGTCCTGCTATTTAACCATAGCTGGTGGGGAGGAGAAGAAGAGGATTCATACCTTTCCCAATGGTATTAGTACGTAAGTGAAAGTAATCGATTCGACTGGAATTCGAACTCGGCACTCCGATTCCTCAATCCGAGCCGCTATATACTTTGTTTATTAGGCAAGTCTATCCATAATAAACAACCATACTTTATTTTTACTACTGTTCACCCAGTCCAAGGCCCAATAGTCACTCAAGGTAGACGCTTACCGAATGGTGTTCTATGAACATCAGAAGAGAATTAATTGATTGGTTCGTTTTCTACGGCTTATCAACCCTTTGCAGGTTATTTAAAGCCAGTAAATATTTTTAGATTGTTAGAATTTTTTTTAGATAATAATGGTTTAGTGGTACAAGTTTTACTAATTAACCCATAGCTAGAGGGAGAAGAGGTGGATTTGCGCGTAAGTGAATCTAAAGAACCTAACGGGAATTGAAACACGGCTCCCCAATTAACAATTTCAAGCCATTATCCATTACACCAGCAGCGTATTCATGCTTACGGACCTTGATATTCCCAATTGGACAACCATCATCATGATGTGTCCGTAAGCCGTAAGAAGAGAAAATGCAGTTTATGAGGTTATGTAGAAGAGATAACGGCTGAGCCGATAGCTGAAGAGGGTTAAAATTGTAGTGATCAGTAAAACATCCCCTCGGGAGTTTCTTCCACAAAGTATCAGTTCTTGGAAAGAAGCTTTTTTTAAAATACGATGAAGTTACAATATTTGCAAATGAAGAACAAAAGCAAATGAGTCAGAAAATGTGTCAGAAAGATTGTTTAAAGCCAGTGACGTACAAAACGTCTTCTGTTAGTTTTTTTTTTTTTTTTTTTTGAAGCTAAAATCTTTTAATCAAAATTATTCTTATCTCTCGGGCAATGAAGCTTTTAGCTCCTTTCAATGTACTCTCCTCATGGTCTGGCTTACTTAGACAAGTGTCCCTTCCACTTTTCAAAGCAACTTAAAAATATCTTTCGGGAACGCCACCAGGTGATACGTTACGTTCTTCAT